CGGTCCAGACCGGTTTAGCCCGTATTTCATGGTTTTGGTCCCAGTTCATGTTAGTCTCATTTTCAGTTATAAATTCCGGGTCCAGTTCAGTTCAGTATATTCATGTTCGATCAGTTCATGTCAGATCAGTTCCGGTTATACCGGTTAAGTCCAAATATTATGTCACGTTCAGTAGAGCATCTTAACATAATTAATCAGTTAAGTTGTCAGTCTGAGCATAGTCATTAGTAATTGTTTATATTATATTTTAGTATGATCAGGCATCAGCACTACCTTCAGTTTCACGGATCAGGTGGAGACTCAGTCTGGGTATTACATTGATTATAATTACGGTACCATGTTTTAGATATGTATTTCATGTCATGTATCCGCTCGGAATGGTCGACCGTCCATTCTGGGTTCTAGTGGCCCTAGTCTGCCCACTAGAGTGTGCACATGGTGTCCGACATTTTTATGCTGGCAGATGAGGTAACGGTCATGGTTCACGTTCATGTGATGATTATCAGGTTCATGTTCATGTTTATTACCAATTTCATGTTCAGGTTATGTATATACCAGGATCATGATATTGTTATTATATTCACTGTTTACTTTAGTATGAGTTTCCACGGAGCACAGTGTTATAGTGCTCACGACCCACTTTTATCATGTTTTTCAGGTCAGGATGTCGGGCCAGGGGTGTGAGATGACGGATGATTCAGGACTTTTATGCTTGTGACTGTATATATTTTGACGATACTACGTTTCCGCTGATTTTGATGTTTTGACAAACTTATCTTTTGGTCAAACTTTCAGATAATTAATGTTTTCAGTAAACCGTAGATTTTGCTAAAAGTAAAATAACAGTTTTTCAGAATATGTCACGTTTTACGGTAGCACCCCGAATCAGTTTTCGCAAATTAAACGATTTTATTTTTAAAAGACTTTGCGAAATTACGCACTCTGATTTCACGATAAGGCGGGGTGTTACAATACTTATACAAAACATACCTTCAATCATTGCGGCGTGACGAAGACGAGTAGTCATAACATAAGGTCTTTATCACATAATCGCATATAAACCAGTCTATAGAAATGCAGACTGGCTCTAATACCAAACTATAACACCCCACTTTGATTTTAATGAAATCTCGGGCTTTCCAAAAAATCAAGTAAACAATTTTCGAAATCATTTTCAAAAATACATGGGTGTTAAACAACAATTTACTTAGTCCAATTCTTATATGGGCCCACGGGGATTAATAAACCTGATTTTTCACAAATGGTTTTCATTAATCGGTTCTCAACACATAACATAATACTCAGCTTTAATCATAAAGCATGCATAAATTTGAATATCATAAATCGAAACATCATGAGTAATTCAAATCCAACATAAACCAAAACATAAGTTCGAAACGGATTTCCAACAAGTGTCAACATAGTTCATGATAATACGAAAGCAAAAAAAATAACTAAGGACCACCTACTCGTCTCACTTCGTCACCCGCCAACTGCTTAACATGCATCTATGAATAGCAGGTGGGAATGAGCACAAATAATAAAGTAGTCTCACTACTATGCACATAATAACATGTAAAGATGG